TCTCGTTATCGCTGACGAAAAAAAGTATTAAAAGTTATCGGTGGTACACAAAGGTATTAATATTTCGTTGTCTATGAAACCTAGTAAATGTCGAGAATAGCAGAGAATTTTCGTGAAAGTGGAAAACGACAATTTTGACGACAGTTGCGACTTTGAATCAATCTGATGAAGAATTCAATGATTCCATCAATAAATTCCGTTTTTCCTAATACGTAGTAAATTTTCGCAATTTGAAAGGACGTCTAACAGGCCACATACTTTAGGCAGGAAGTAAATGAAATTTTCGAGCTGAAAGCGTGCAGTAAATGGGGAAATCTATTCAGATTAACTCGGTAAAGAGGGCTAATGTAAAATCGGAAATTTTTCACTTTTGTAAAAAGACTGATCTCGTCCGTGACAAATATAAAATTGATGGATTTTATTAATCAGCCGATGAGTTTCGACGAGTAGCCGATCCTTTTCGTACGAATAATTTCCAATCAACTTTAATCCGTTCTCTCTAATTGGTCCATGTACTCGCAGATAACCGATGAACAATTTCGATGAAAAATTGTTAATCGGCAAATAGAATCGGGATCGAAATACTTTGCCAACTTGTCGTACTGGACGATGAGTCGGAGGGACTTTTAGGGGACTTACCTTGACCTTTTCGTCGATCTTTCTTGCAGGTTGGGGCGGCGGCGGTGGTGCCTCGGGGTCGAAGCTTACGCGTTGGCCGATGCCCCGCAGGAAGCCGCCCCTGGCCCCGGAATTCCAACCCCTGGCCGTGTCGGTGTCCATCCTCAAAGAGAGATGTGCGCGCTCCTCGTCAGTAGCACCGATTTCTTCGCCGGGACCGCTTTCACCAGGGGATCTCGCGCCCCTGGCGCCATGCTCCTCATCTTCGTGCGCGCTTTCTGAAACAGAAAATGGACAGGTCGTTTTGAAACTCGTTTATAGACAACACCTGTCTCGTTTATCATTCGCTACGCGGAGAACGAAATTTTCTCTCGAATTTGCGATTCGATCGATGTTTTTCCATTCCATCTTTTAAATTTTTACATCTCTTTCTTCTTTTTACCACTTGTAGTCGTGGATATTTGTTCGTTCTCCGGGGAAATACCGGGGATCTGAGTTTCATCTCTGTAGCCGATGTTCTGCTCGATTCGATGCAGTGATACGACAGTACAGACTGCACATGTTTAACAGTAACCGTACCATTTTCATTACGTCGGTAGACCGTCATATCGGAGGGGATTTAAATAAAGTGCGCCGCGTGCAGGGAAGAATAGCAGGGATCTAACGGAGGACAAACGAAACGACGAAGCGGCCGGCGGATACTAGGTACACCCTTGTTGGTAATCCAAACGTATGATGGATCGTGGAATACACTCACCTTTATTGGTTTCACGCAAACATACGCGCGCGTACCGAGTGCGCGCCGGCAACTCTGCGACGTAATTTTCGGAGCTCTCCGCTCTGCGAGGGTATCGATTACAGTGGCAGTGATAGTGCCCACCATGGACAATCTCGTGAACGTTGATCGTGAATGAAAAATGACGCCCCGTCCGATGAATCGAACCGTTGCTCGGCAACAACGATTTTTTTTTCGCGAACGTAACAACGGTTCGCGAACCGTTCGGCCATGAAATAGATTCATTGTGTAGAAACAATCGGGGATCGTCACGCGGTTTTCCCGACCGCGTTTAACAAACGCATTGTTCGGGAAGAAAGTAGCGTTATTTCGCTCGCCGTCAATGGCGCGCGGCAACGAAACGACTCTTTCCCTCTCAATGCCGCGCCGTTTCGTTATCGTTTCCCAGCCGATTTTCTAATTCTTCTGGCCCATTTGTCCGTGATTGTTCGACGCAGCGTGTGCTCCTTCAGACAACGATAGCGAGCAAGTGCCGTTTCGTTGCCTGTTTCTCGCCGTGCCATTGTATCTTCTGTTTTTCCTTTTTTTTTTT